CAGCAGGCGAAGGCCCGGCAGCTGAAGAAGCAGCAGGAGGCGCAGCCCGAGGGAGGGGAAGGCGAGCCGTCCGGAGGAGCCGGCCCAGGGGGCGCGGGGCTGAGCCCCGGGGGTGAACCCGGGGAAGGAAAAAGAAAGAGGAAGAGGGAGAGCGAAGAGCAGTCCCGTGCGCGAGGACAGAAGAAGCTAAAGAAGAGACAACAGCCTCCTAGCTCTTCTGAAGAAAGGGCCGATACTGAGGAGGCGGCAGGTGGCAGCACTCCATCGAAGAAGGAGGAGAAAGAAAATCGAAGAAAATCGAAAGTGCCTCAAGAGAGGACTGAAGCAGGTAACGATAAACTGGGGTCATTTTGGTCGACAGCTCTCAACAGAGAAGTAGACGCAAGTTGCCCTTTGAGTACCTTGCCGAATTTACCTGATGGTAAATTTTGTTTTCCTCTGCTTAATATGTTCCCAGAGTAATTCCCTTTTTTAGGGGAAAGCCCCATATTGCAAACTTTGAGGATCAGTTTAGTGTAAGGGAAGGAGGGAAGCATGTCGCCTCAGCCTTCAGTTGCTTCCATACCAACAAAGGAACGTTTGGCTTTTGCACTTGGATTTAGGAAGAGAGGAGCTTGCAAGTTGTTGCTTAAGTCCTATGTTGTAAAATGTTCCCTACATCCCTTTTCTGTAGAACGTTCTGACCTGTAGCTTTGTATTTCTGTTATCCAAATTCCAGATTCTGAAGAAGACATCAAACAACAGGAAAACAGAAGCAACCTTAAAAAAAAGTCTTCTAAAACGAAGAAGAGAGATGAGGAAACAGAGCGAGCTGAAACAAAGAAGAAAGAGAACAGTGAAAGAGCTGAAGGAAATCAAAGCACAAAGGAGGAGCTGTCCTTAGCAGCCTCGGAGGAAAAGGCAAATCCTCCTCCCTCCAGTTTGGTGGTTCTTGGAGACTATGACAGAAAGCCAGTGCAGAAGGTAACTAGCTTGACTGAATTTTGATGATGGTCAGGAAGGAACAGGCATCCTTACTGGCTTATTTTATGTATGGCATTGCTTGTTTGATGGCAGAACCGCTTTGTTATTCTCCTTTCCCTCACCTCAGGTTCAGCCCTTCTTACCACAGTGGCTTGCTCAACCCAAACTAGTGCAAAAACGTATCAAAGATAATCTAGTTCCAATCAGAGATGTCCCAGGAATTCATCCCAGGCTGTTGAAAAAGCTGCAAATGAATGGGATAGAGTCGTTTTTTCCAGGTACCTTGATAGTGCTTTTGTGTCTTTCTGCATTAATTTATGTAGTTCCTGCAGTCTGTTGCTGTATATTTTATGTGAAGTAAAATACAGAACAAAACCAAGTTTAATGCGTCAAAGTGATCGTACCAGTTTTAACCCTTCACTTTCAAATCTTTATCTAGGCTGAGTAATTGATCTAGTCATAAATGCAGCTCCACGAAATATGGTGGCTTGAAGTAATAGCTCACAGCTGCCAAAAGAGGGAGGTCTTACTTGTGTCCTCCCATTTTCCCCCGTTATGCCAGGCTTGTGCTTTAGTTCCTTACCTTCCACCATCTCTGCTTCTAATCAGACCTCTCTGGGAACCTGTTCGACTTATTAAAGCAGCAGAAAACTGTTCAAGCAAAAAAAGCTGTTGGTTTTCCATTATTTTACCGGTTTGGCAGACAAGTACAATAAATGTCAGCTCCTAAATAAGTAGAAAGCACAGCTGGGAGCAGGGATAAGGAGAGGGAGAGAAGGGAAGAAGGTGGGATCTCTGACCCTCAGCCAATTACTTGGTCCAGCTGAGCCTGGAGACTTGACTCATCGAGGTTACATTGGAAAGCCAGCATGTCTTTTCTCTTTTTAAGCCGTTACATAACGTTTTAATGTAAATGCTATTGCTTATTTTGTTCTGGGAGATCTTAACAGGTTGCTGATAGCAACTTCTTGTGTTTTCTCATAAATCAAGTCCAGTTTCTGGCACTTGGTAGTAGATAAATCAAGCAGTGTCATGCTCTGTCTGGTAGAGACGGTGTCCACTGAAGTCGTACGTCGTATGCATCACTGAGTATGGTCTTGTCACGGAGCTAAATCCCCTGGCTGCTAAACCTCATAGATAAACTGAAGTTGGCCAGTTTGTCAGGGTTTGTCATGGGACAGGGAAAGGAGAGGGTTCATGCATGACAGCCAAAGCTGTTGTCTGTACAGGACTGTGCTTCAGTCCTTGTGTACTCTCCTGCAGCGAACTTGAATGACTCCAAAGCCTATAGGAGTTGTGCATTTTGCTCCTTGGCAGATAAGGCTGCCTTGCTGTGTTGCATATTCTGTGTTTATATAAGAGTAGTTCGTACTTCAAAGAAAGGATGCTTATAGGCAAATATTCATAGGTTTTAAATCTGGTCAGTGCCATCCTAACATGAGAATGAGAAGACAGATATGAGTTGAAAACAATATTTAACACAATAACATCTTAGCTGAGCACTAGAAAGCATCTCTATTAACAACTGCTTTTGATTTCTTCCTCTCTTATGGCCATAGCAACAACAGCACAGATGTGGAAACAGATGCATTGTATATAACTGCTTTTCTGGATACACTAGTTTTAGGCCAGTTAACTCTGTAGTTAATGTTTGTTTCCACTTTTGTTCAGTTCAGGCAGAGGTGATTCCTGCTGTTCTACAGAGTGCATCCAATGGGTATTTGATGGGGCAGGGAGGATACCGCCCCAAAGACATCTGCGTCTCGGCACCTACTGGCAGTGGTAAAACCCTGTCTTTTGTCATACCCGTAGTACAGGTGAGTTTACCCCCAGTGAAATACCTATAGGGAAAATGTTGGGGTTGCTTTTGTTCAAGCGAAACCTGAACTTAGAAGTAGGTCAAAAAGCCAAGGAATTCGTGGCTGCAAAGCAGCAGATTCTCAGAGCTGTCTCAGAGAACTGTATGAGTCCCCTTCATCTCAGCATCCTACTCCTTTTCTCAGACAACAGGCACAGCATAAGGAGTTGGAAGGGTGGAGGGGAGTAAAATGGAAACATAAAACTCCATGAGGATATGTCAAGCCCATCTCTTTTCACTGGGTTAGATACAGGAAGCCCCTTCTCTCCCCACTGCTTTCAGGGACTCATTTGGCCTTTGTTTTGGCAGGTTCTGCTAGATCGAGTAGTTTGCCAAGTACGAGCTCTGGTTGTTCTGCCCACCAAAGAACTGGCACAACAGGTATGTGGCTCTTCACCTTCCCTCTGAGCAGAACTGGGCCAGGGAAAAAGCTGGTGCAGTCAGTACTTTGCTTGGCTGTTCTGTGAAGCAGGTGGAAGAACCTGGCGGTGGGTTTGATGTTAGCATAATGGAAAGTATTTCTTTAAATGATTTCATTGTGGCTAACAGAGCCCATCTCTTTGCAGGTGAGTAAAGTGTTCAACATTTACACTGACGGGACAGGTCTGAAGGTCGTTTTGATTACTGGCCAGAAATCTTTTGCAAAGGAGCAGGAGATGCTTGTCCAGAAAAAGTAGGTTAAAAGGACTTTTGATAAGGTTTGTAGAGATTGTAAACTATTTAATCTCAGTAAGCAGAGGTCAAAATACAGGCTATTGCAGCACACCATCATGCAGTAATGATTTTGGATGGTGGGTTTATATGCTAGACACTGGTTGTTTTGTCTTTGTCAAAGTGCCTGCCTCTACCCCTTTTTTGTGATTGTTATGTTTTACTAGATTTTTGGGGTTCTTCACCAGCTGAGTAGAATGCAAACGTTTACCTTGTACCCACAGGTACAAATGATTCTTACGGCATTTTGCTGCAACTAAGCTTTTTTTAAGAGTAATGAAGAATGGCATTTTTTGTTTAAAATGAGGGTTTAGTGTCCAGCACTGCCTTTGCCTGCTTTCCAAAGTAAAGTGCATATTTGAATTTTATTGTTTCTCAGTTAAGTGAACAGTAGGAAAATCTTAAGGTCTGCTGACCAAGGATCTCTGTTATGTGCTTTATGGTGCAGGGAGAAACTTACTGATGGGCTGCTTGTTCTTTCAGAGTGACAGGCTACTGCAGCCTGGCTGATATTATTGTGGCTACACCAGGGAGGCTCACAGATCACATTCGCCAGACCCCGGGGTTCAGCCTGACGCAGCTCCGCTTCCTGGTGAGTCAACTCCACAGGTCTCCCATCTTAGTGCAAGGTCCATTACAGCTGTAATTCCTGCTTTGTTCTTGCATGGTACATAAATACATCTCTGTTGGAACTATTGTATGGGCCTGGTCTACACTCCAGATTGCTCAGGCAACGGTCTCAAGATGAGGTGTTTTATTCCAACTCGTGACACCCAAGCATCCACCCACTTCCCCTTCTCTCTTAGCCTCTTGCAAACACAAACTCGGAGTAAAGCCTTATCGGCCAAGGTCAGGGTAAATTGTCAGACTGTAGTAGCTTCCACCACATGGGAGTCTGTGCAGAGACACAGTTGCAATCTTATTTAGGATATGGAGATTTTTATCTCTTATTCGGAGACATGGATTGGATTTATGTGCAGATGAACGTGTGTGTAGTTTGATGTCAGGCTGGCTACTGAGTCACTGAAATAAAAGCAAAATTCAGTTTTGGGGTAGAAACTTCCGCCTTCATTTAATAATGATGATATTACAAAAGGAAAATAAAAGCTGCCCAATGCTAGACAGTATTTAACAAGTAGTGGTTATCATCCTTGTGAATTCAGATCGTAGACGAAGCTGACCGTATGATCGATGACATGCACCAGAACTGTCTGAACCAAATTGTCAAAGCTGCATTCCAAGTAGAAAACGACTCTGGCTCCAACATGCTTTTTCAGAGGACCAAACCAGGGCCTGTAACAGCAGCCAGGTAAGTTGCCAAATGCATTTCTTTGAACTGGTAGCACGGATGCCAGCACCTAGATGCCACTGCCCTGTTTCACAGTACTCCCTCACAGGCACTCCCAAAGCTTGTTTACTCTGAGAAATGTCTGCCAAAGTAAGGCAGCTGCTTTTTCACAGCTGAAAAAGCAGGCGGCGAACAGCTGATACTAGAGGATGTCTTCTAGACTGAAGCTTAAGTATTGTATTCTCCAAGCTTTCCTTAACTAGACTAAAGGAGCATCAAAAGAATGCACAAATATTGCAAGTCTGTGATTCATGACTATGGTAATGCCCTCTGGCAAGCTGAGTAATGGATTTGAAGGAAGAGTCTTGGAATTATCTATCTGCAGCTGCTGTTTTCATACAGCATGGTAGAGATGCGTCAGAAACTGAGATCAGCCACCAAGGAAGGAAGCAACTAGCATGAGGACACGGGTAACTAGGATGCAAGGATATGTGCAGGGGTAATGGGTGCGGGTTGTGCAGTTGGTTGAGAGCGCTGATCGGTTCCATCTGTGAACTCCACCATAAAACAAGGGTGGAAAAGAACCTACAGGAAAGGCCCAGAGCAGGAAAAGAGCATCAAAAAGAGTTAATTGCTTCCCTCATAACATCATCTGAAGGCACTTGTGGAGGAACTCCTTTGCCCCATCCTCAAAGCTCAGTTTCCATGTGCTGTTTATTTCAGCTCCTGCTATCCTCAGATACCCTTACAGAAACTGCTGTTTTCAGCCACGCTGACCCAGGACCCAGAGAAACTGCAGCAGCTGGACTTGTTCCAGCCTCGCCTCTTCACGTCTGTCTATTCAGAGAAAAAAACACTCGGAGATGGAACAGAGGCTGAACAAGATACTAATAAGAAATACATACTCCCCGAGGGGCTATCGGTATGACATTAATTCTCTTGAATAAATTACACTTGAAGATTTGTTTAACTCTGGAGTATCTAGTTATGTTTTTACCCTATAAACAAATATGTCTTCCCTAGGATTCCTCGCATTACAGAGGTGCTGGGAGAAAGTGGCTTTGTATTTTATGATCCAGAGAGCTCTACCTTTGCGCATTTGTTTTCTCATTACTTAGTGTTCATTTGGTTAAGACTGGATTTTTTTTTTTTAAATTCAACTCTCTTCGTGCAGAATTAAGTTTACAAGCAATGGGGAGTGGAGATACAAAGTAATAATAATGTATTAGCACTTAGGTATAACGTGCATTTCAAGGCATGTAGATACAGGTCACCTGTAGACAAGAAGGCAGTGCATGTTGTTACTTGCCATGGAGAAGTGAGAACATTAGAACAGCACAGGTCTCCTGTCTCCACCTTGTGTTGCATCCTCCCAGCCTGTGACTCTGACTTGTTCTAAAGGGAGTAGCGTTGTGGGGTCTGGTTTTGCCGCTATTAGTCAGTTGAAAAACATCCAAGCCTAGGTAGGTCACGGACAGGTAGCGGGTTTCAGAGAAGATAGCCTTGGCAAGAAGTAATTTTTCTCTCTGAACTTCTTCCTTGTCAACTGCAGCAATGTTACGTGCCTTGTGACCTGAATTCCAAGCCTTTGCTCCTCTTGCATTTCATGCTGACAATGAAATTTACCCGCGTGTTGTGCTTTACCAACTCCAGGGAAGCTTCTCACAGGTGACTATATTAATGAGATCACTATAGTAGGTATCTGTCACATATTGTTAGAGAGATGATGAAGTGACTGTTTCTATCCCGTTTACCTACAGATTGTTCCTGCTGGTTCAAGCCTTTGGTGGAGTCACTGCGGCTGAATTTTCTTCTCGGTTACCTCCAAATGAGAGACAGAGAACCATGAAGGAATTTGAACAGGGAAAAATACAACTGTGAGCATCTCAAATGAGTTTCCTGCATGTCTTCCAACATAGGCTATTTCCAGCTAGGTGAAAAGCTAGGTAGAACCAAGAACACAGTTAAATGGGGTCCTCTGTAAAACAGCATGCAGGAACCAGCTTAGAGAATGGGTGTGAGTCTTGGACTTGCAACTTTTGAATTGTTGCCCCTGCATGTAGCTTGGCCTGTTCTAGTCTGGCTGTAATCTGAATTTCTGTGTGTTAGTTTATAACAAGCGGTAAATGTGACTGCTTGTTCATATAGTTGCCCAAAATACATACGGTTCTGAAAATCTTAAGTTTAATGTCTCTGCTTGGGGTCTGGCACTTTTTGGAAGAAAATGGATGTTGGTGCTAGAACTATATATAGTATTAGTGCTTCCTACCAAAGAAAGCCTTGATCAGACTGGCATGCAGATCCATGTCTCTCATCTGCTTTGTGATTTCGGTAGCTATATGGGATTGCATCTGTGGAATGCCTCTGAGAGGAAGGTAAACATTTATTTTTTGGATTTTCTTTTTACCCAAACCCTGTGTTTAAATTCATCCTTGACTACCGGAATTTTGCACCTCGCTGTCTGCGTTCAGTGCCTTTATGGAATGTTCAGATAGCTTACAGGTTTGAAACCTCCAATGTGGTGGGAGCCATCTGGCTTAGCGTCGCATGCCTGGAGAACCCGGAAACACCCAGTAACTTTTCATGCACAACAGTAGGTGACAAATCTGTAGTGATGCTTGGAGGTCTGCGGGCAGCTAATAATGCCAGTGACAATAAGGAGCGACTTACAATGCTGCTGTCGTGCTCAGAGGTCAGAGGCTGGCTGCCCGGTTTGAACAGAGATTAGCAAGAGTTGTGCTGTGTCCTTTTGTGTTTCACTTGGGTGCGTAGTGCAAGAGGTGTTACCTAAAAATTACTATATCTACATTTAAAACCAGGTTAATCAGCACAGATGCCACTGCACGAGGGATTGACGTCAAAGGAGTGAATTATGTAATAAACTATGATGCGCCTCAGTTCATCAGGACATACATTCACCGGTAAGACAACCAGGAACAAAAGGAAGATGGTTGAGCTTGGTTTACTTTGAAATATTTAGCAAAGGTGACACGCACTTAAAAGGGTTTTCAGTTTTGGATTTTTCTTTTTACTTTAATACGCAAATAGCTTTCTAATCAAAATTAAGCCCGAAGCATCACCAGAGTAATGCCATATTGAAACGGAGAACTAGCAGCCTATTATACAAAATGTATTTGACAGGAGCTAGAAATACTGTCCTGGACAGCATCGAGTATTGGGTTTCTAGATGTTCTGAAAACTGCAGCGGCTCAGCAGCTGTGAACGAGCCCTGGAAATGTTCATCCCTTGTAACATATGGCTAGTCCTGCTGTGCTAACCTCAAAAAACTCAGAATCAGACTTTCTTAAATCTGGTGAATTTCAGAATCAGACTCTTGAAGCTGATAATGGCAGTGACTGCGTGGCTAAACTGACCTGACGCTACTTTTTCTGATTTCAGAGTTGGAAGAACGGCTCGTGCAGGAAAAGCGGGCGTCGCTTTCAGCTTGGTCCTTAGAATTCAGGTATGTCGTTGGTGTGGGATTCATTTGATAAGGATGTGTGCGGGGGCATAAATAAGGAGGACGAGGTTCATACTACTTCCCACCTTTTCCAGTCAGCTGAGCTTTGTACTTGGAAACTTCAGTTATTTCCTGACTAGGCAGCACGTTCCAAAACATGCTAATTTTCTAGCTGATAGGCAGTGGGGCGTCTCATCTCCCGTGTCTGTTTTGTTACGCAGGAACGCAGGTTTCTGCGCATGTTGAAGGATGCCGGCATCCAAGACATAAAGAAGCACCCAGTGAAGGGCAACTCATTAAAGCCGTTGGTGCAGCAATATGAGGAAGCTCTGAGTAAGCTTGAGAAGACAGTCAAGGTAATTGAAACGGGGAAGAAAATTTAAAAAAATCAAACTACAACTTGCACAGTTGATTGCAACTCATGACTAGCACGAGTATTAGTGTCCAGAATCCTTTTCTTTAACTGAGACATTTCCATTTCAGTGTGAAGGCAGCATTTTTGGGTGCATCATTATGAAGTACTCAGAAAGGGTGGGGAGGGGAGAAAGAGGTTTTCTGTTAGAAGAAAGGTAGGCAGCATCCTGGGCGGTATGTAAAAGACGTGTAGACGTGGCGCTTAGGGACATGGTTTAGTGGTGGACGTGGCAGTGTTAGGTTTACGGTTGGACTCGATCTTAAGGGTCTTTTCCAACCTAAATGATTCTGTGACTCTGTTCTATGATTCGTGGTGTTTCCTTTTGCCTGTACCTCTGGAGCTGGGATTTTGGCAACGACCCAGAGGAAGGCAAACAACATGCAGAGATTAAACCTTTTGTCATTACAGAGTTTTAAGACTAGTTTACAGCTATGCTGACTAGAAGCTGGGTATTCCAAGCCAGGAGAGCATTTTCTGCAGGCCCTCCTTTACGCACCAGTGGGAAGGTTGAGAGCTTTCAGACAAAAGCGGGGTAGCTTTTAACGTGCCAGATGGGTAGACTAGGGGTCCATAATAGACTTTGTGCTGTATGATTTGGGCAAGTGTTCTGCTCTCTAATTGGAGGACTCCTGATAAACATCTGTCCTTGAAAAATGATGATTTTGAGTTGCAGACTAGCAATGTTTGAGAACTGGGGCAGAAAGGATTATTAAATTGTCTCATTGCTCCCCAAAGTCCCTTCTGTGTGACTCAGTGGCATCTTCAGTCACCTTCTCAACTTTTAATTTTGAACAGAACGAGCGAGCACAGAAACGAGCCTGAATGAATGGAAGCTGAGAAGGCTGTGTTTCGTGGCACTGAAGCGAAGCGGGATAGGTCACGGACTACTACCCAGCACGGTAACAATGAGACATGGTCCCTGAGTGGAGCTGAAGGATATTGTAAGGTTGAGGAGCCAACCAAAGTCAGCTATTACAGGCCTCGTTCCCCTTTCAAGGACACTGCAAACAGTTCAGTTACTGGTTTAAAAAGAAAAAAAAAAAATTTGAGATACAGTTGTCTTGAAGAGGGCTTTGCATCATATCCTACTGGCCTATGTAAAACTACCCCCAGTGAAGAGAGCCATTAGACAGCTCTTGAGCACGGGCCTGATGGAACTGCCGGTCTCCAAAGGTGAGGGCTGTGCCCTTCTTACCTCTGAACTGGCACAACTAATGGTTCTGTCTTGCTGCACAAGCAGCTGTATCTGCAAATGCATGAACACCTGTCCAGTGCCTATAGCAGAAGCGTGTTTGAAGAGCTGCTCTGGGCTGAAGTGACTGCAACTTTTAAATAAATACTATATATATTTTTAAAACGGTGTCTAATAACGATTCCTGTGTACAGGGATGGAGATAGCGTTGAAGGGGATTTTTCACTTCTATAGTCTTGTGCCTTTCTTGTAACTTTCTTGCCTACGTTTCCTTCCAACATTCACTACCAGTGGTAACAGCATATTAAGTGTTAGGGTGGTGTTAATGCAGACTAAAATGTCCGATGTCTAATATGAATATACTGGAGTCAGCTAGTATCACTACAAGCCATAAATCTGTATTTGACACATGCCACTGATATTTTTAGCTGCCCCTGACAGAAGGCTTAGAGCTACCACGTAGCTGCAGCTGCAGCTACCCTCCAAGACCTTCAGCAGGAAACGCCCCAGCTTTGGCTTAGTATTTTGTAAAACAAAATAAATGTACACCGGCATTAGCAATACATTATCGGAGCAAAATGAAGGGCTGGGAATCTTGGAGGGATGGGTGTCAGGAGGGGTGGTCGCATCTTGTAAAGACAGGAGCAACGCGGGGTGGTTTTATAGCAGTGAAGTAGCGTGTGTCTTCCTACCGTGTGACTGCTTTCTCTCTCTCAAGCAGTTTTTGCATAGCACAGGTGCCTGGGCTGGTGTCAGAGCAGCAGAAATGGAAAGTCCTCTTAGGCGAGAGCTGTGAGCCCCCATGAGCAAAGCAAGGGTCTACCTCTTGTGCACCTGCGTCCCATCAGCCTAGCTTTGGCTTTCCTTATTAAGCAATTAAGGGCAGTTATTAAGACAAGCCCGAGTTCAAATAGGAGGTGGCAGAGCCTGGTTGGAACTTTGCCCCGGAAAGCTGCCATCGCCCCCCTCCGTCGAAAGGCCCAGGCACGGCTCCGGCCGCCCCTCAGCTCCGCGGCCCGAGCGGTCCTGCTTCGAGCGACGGTCCCCCTCGGCTGAAGGCCCGC